ACCCATCAATGTGTTCTGCCTCGTGGTCGGATGTGGTCTGGGGCTGGTAAACCGCACATACTAGTAGATCGGGTAATTTTATGATTTGCTAGTTGTAAAGGCGTCTTGTGGTATGAGCCGGTATATGAAGAAGTAGCCTGTGTTACACAATCATGCTTTCGGCCGGATTGATGTGCAACTGTTACTAATTGCAGGGACTGCGCTAATGCCGACCAGTCGCGCTGTCCTGATACACCGCGAATGTGCGAGTGTTCCCTGTAGACAGTCCCGGAGTCTTCGCACATTCCAGGAGCCAAACCAAAATACGTTCATGAACCGAGTCCAAAAACCGAAACGTGAAAATCGGATGATCGGACCTGATGTACATTTCTCTTTCTGTAGATTGTACACACAATACACACATCTTTAGATAATCTGGCCATGGCAGGTAAAAAAAACGTAACCCTGAATCATACTAGATTAGCGTAAATGCATGTTTATGCGTTCAAAACAAGAAAAGAAATTGTTTCCGGGTATTAATCTCATGAATCACGGCGCTGAATATTGACGCAAAAATATTTCGGCCATCGCGCACCCTTCCCCGTTGTTTAGACTGTATGCAAATCCCGCGTCACGTGTCGGCATTTCGCATCTCTGATTGGTTGTTGCGTCTTAAGATGACTGAGCCGACGCGCGTTTAAACAATTTTTCTTTGTTCGATTTATCACACTTCACAGAGAATTGTCGCCAATGGCTACTTCTTTTTGTTGCAATATATAATACTTCACGGAGAATTGTCACCTATGGCTTCTTGTTATTATTGATTTTTTTTGTTATGGCATGATACCCTGCTCTAGTTGCCCTCTGGTGGGCAGATAAAAGCCTTCAGTTGTGAGCATCATTATCATATTTTGACACCTAACCTTGAACATCACTGTCAGAGTTCAAGGACCTTATAGAAATCAATTTAGCGGTCATGTGCTGATGGATCAATTAACTGACCAGTGATGGAGAAAGACTAGCCAAAAAATGGGATCTGTTCACCTTATGGTTGAGTGAAGCAAAAACTTGTCCTGTCAAAGATTAGTGAGTTGACTCAAAGGAATGATCTTTCAGGACAGGAAAGATATATTTTTATGACCTTATTTGTATCAAACATATCCTGTGAGTTTGTGCTTTTAAATTAGTGTTTTAAAACGCACTACATTGGAAACCAAGACCCTGGTTCTCTGAATCTGCACACTTCATGAATTGTGATTGTCACTGTCAATGTATAAAAGTTACATTACTGTCAATGTATAAAAGTTACATTACTTTATGTTTTTTTTTAAATATTTCATTTTAACTTAAACACTGTAGAGGTCAGATACATGTAGGTAAATGTGTATGATACAACCCTTGAGCCAGGGCCCAATGCACAGGTTGAAACAATTGCTAATAGATTGAGGGACAGCAACTGCAAAAATTATTAAAATGATATAGCCCATCATTCCAAAACCTTGAATCATTGCAACATTGCAAATCCCTTCCATGATAATGTCGTTTCTGGCACCCCTCCCAGAAGCTGCCAGATGTGACTAACCTGATCTTGTACACAGAACACAGTAACTGAAACTAACCAATCGTGTGATCAGCTCAGACAATTAGACGGCTTCCTATGCTAAGTTGGCAAATGACCAGTATTTGTTTGCCTTTTCTGAAAAAAAGAAGTTGATGTAAATGGCCTAAAATGCAGTTGATATACAAATTTAACAAGACCTAGTAGATACACAATTGTTTGACGGTAACTTACATGTATATACAGTATTTTCAAACTGGAAGATATTTGTACTACAGTATGTCTTGATGTTTAAATGTACCTAACTCTCATGGCTGGGCTCCAACACCTTGAGAATCTTCCTAGAAACTACTACTGCTCCTAGCTTTGTGATGAATATTTATTACTTCTGTCATTAAAACAAACCTAGCGTCAATAAACCTGCACTTGGCATTCTGCCTACAGTTCGATCATGCCATGTGTGTCTGCCAAGGCATTTACCTAGGCTTTGTATGGCTTCAAAACTGGCAGCCAAATAATACAGAGCTTGATTCAGTTGCCAAAGACTGCACACAAATTGAAATATTCATCAAAGGCCTGAATAGTTGACTGTTGGTTCAGCACCAAGGACAGAAGCAATATAAAAAGAAAGTTGATAAATAACTGTTATGGCATCATGTCAGGGAGGCTTATACACATGAATGGGTCAGCAGACTAGGTTTGGGCAAATCGATAAATGGATGTGATTATACACAGACAGCTAGGCATTATGTTCCAGTCGTGATAAATGATGATCGTGATATTCGTGTTATCACCAAATGGATTTGAAATTGATTTCAATTCCCTTTGGCTTGAGAGACTGTCTACCACCAGAGGATGGCATATCCTCCACATCACATATCATCTTCTTTGGTTATGATTAAGTCATGAATGAGTCAGACGATGGCAAACCCAGGAGAAGTAAAATCTTTATGGAGCCATGCATTTTAGTTACATTTATGACTGGCAAGTGCTTTGGGAGGGGCAGGGGCTGATGGAAGGACAGGGTGCATTAGCTCTTGAAATTGAAAACTTGCAGTGGTGCTAATTTACCCTATTATGTACTAACCATGATTTAGGAGGAAGCTGCAAGCATGGATGGTATCTCTGCACTCAAATAGGGAATGGGTCACATGGTATGAATTAATAATGTGGAGATGATGATAGAAATTGGTCAGCTTTGTTTATAAATAACCATTAGCAATAATTCAATATCGGGAATGTTAATTAAAGATCCTGCAAGTAATATTTTTGGTTGTCAGGGAGCTGTAGGGGACTTAAATGGATTTGCCAGGTGGATGAATAGAACTGAAAACTGAACTGTAAGCAAAGGTGATACAATCTATCCTTCAAAAGTTGTTTTCATCCTGTCTCCACTTACCCAGCAGGATTGAACCATTTAGGTGTCAGGGCCAATTAGAACTCGGGTTTATAAATATCCTAGTAACATCACATCAGGAGAGGAGCTTTGCCTGGAGGTTGAATCCTAGTTATGTAGTTCTCTACCAACCGGTACGTTCCCAGCTCCTCCTACCTGGTGTATCTGAAACTGCATGAAGAGGTTTCAGATGAGTCAGGTTGTCAATGATCTTTTAGTCTAAGTGATGTCAGAGATGTTGATTGTGTCTAAGCTTATGCAGTCAACAGCTCAGAAGCATAGAAACACAATTATAGCATTATAATAAAATTTGCATCTCACTTTCAAATAGTATAGCAAAATTAATGAGACTTGCAATCAGTAATGATGCATTTCATACTGGATTATTGGCTGCACAGACAACTTTTCCAGAAAGTGCACTTGTGTGTCAAATTAACCACACTTTGGGATTATGAGACTCAAGAAGGTGAAACATAATCCATCCATTCATTTTTATGGGTTCACCACACCACGAAGTGGTGTGTGGTGAACCCATATTGCTTTTTCTGGTGTTTCTTCTTCTCCTTCTCCTGCCATTTTTTAAATGGATTCAGCTTCTTCATTTTAGGGCCTAAGGTCCTGAAATTTGGTATGGAGGTACAGTGGGCAAATACCCCTAGGCGTTTTTTAAATTTTTGTGATACGGGCTTTTAGAATGGTTTTATTTGAGTTTTTTGGCTGTGTTATAGCAAATGTATTACTGTGTTAGTGTGCCGTGTTTACCACGTTTGGGCATGAGTCATCACAATGGAATGCAGGGCATCAACCAATAGGCATGCAGCTTTCCTCTATTCTTCTTGCTGATTGGCTGTTGGGATTTAACTTGATTAACACCTGCACAGAGCATTTCCACCTGCACAGAGCATTTCTTGCTGATTGGCTGTTGGGATTTAACTTGATTAACACCTGCACAGAGCATTTCCATACTAACAGTATGTCTGTATTCAAGTGTTTTGGTAGGTATTTCAAGCTTTCCTGCTCCAGCATTGGAATGCGGGGCATGAACGTTTTTTTTATTTTGAAAATCAACAGTTTGCATTATGCAATTAAAAATCCTAACCAATAAAGTAGGGAATAGCTATCCAACTGTTGTTTTAGTTGTATGTTACTTCATATTATAGTTATATCAATGTAAATCATTGTTTTCCCTTGTGTTTCTCATTCTTTCCCTGCCATGTCGTAAAATGTGGTGAACCCATCGCTGTATTTGCTCCAAAGCAAATATTGGCCTTTCTAGTATTTCTTCATTTTTGTTGAAGATAAAGGGAGTATTTGCAGAACTAAAAGCATTAGGCTGTCAGTAACAGCTGTTCTTGCCTGGGGGCAGGTTATTTCTTCTTTGGTGCTTACACTTTGTACACATGAATGGAGAGTTTTTTGCTTTTTTTTGTTGTCACATCTGTTTACATATTAAGTTTTGTATTGCTGCAGCAATTTAGTCAGGAAGCTTTTTTTCCTCTACAGCCTTGGGTACAGCTCTATGGCCTAACAAGACTGAAGGATGCCAATATACCTCTTACTGTGAATTGTTATCGAGTGGTTTAAGATGATGCATTAAACATTAGAATAGTTGTGCATGATGGGCTCATGCCAGTATTGCAACTTATATATTGCAACAGCTGGTCGTAAGTTCATTGGACATGACTGATACTTGTTTGCTCAATGTGGATAATCTGATGCATTATACCGAGTGAGACACATTCTGTAGTTTAGAAAGTTGGGTATATAGCTGAACACTGGAGCCTTTGCTACCATATACACTGACAGGTACACATGACTGTATTTAGTAGTAAAGGTAGTATGTTATGTTTTATTGAAGTTTGAATGTAAGAATCTCTGAAATGAGCTGACCAGATGTCTCCCTTCACAGACATGTAAATTAAGTTCTTAGTGATACTTAAAACTGTTTTGTTACCGGTAACGTTAACAGGTATTACCAGAGAATTACTCAGTTTACCTTCTCAATGTCTTTATGTCGTTTGAATATGTAATGTAACATTAAATTTACACAGATCATTGTTGTTTTAGGTGTGCAGTCGCTGGGTGTGATATTCTGCCTGCCTGATACCGATGGCTGAGCCAGCTGACAAACCTGAAAGTAACCTGACTGAGTCTCCTGATGCAACAGATGCGCCAGAAGAAATGGAGATGAAGGAAATATTCCAGGAGAAGCCGGCCTCCAGCCATACCATCCACCCTGACGGCAATGAGAGACCCCCCATCAGTCACAATGTGTTTGGGAAGATCCCAAAGAGATACATTGTGGCATTCATGGCCTTCCTTGGCTTCTGCAATGTGTATATGTTGAGGGTGAATCTTAGTGTGGCAATTGTTGCCATGGTCAGCAACATGTCCGTGGAACATGAAGATGGCAGTGTTACTTATGTGAGTTAAATTAGAAGGAAATCCTGTATCCTATCTTAACACTTTGATGTATGGGATATCTAATTAGTAACGCTCAAGGACTGGGATCCTCCATGAGGGCAATCTGTCCTAATAATTAATATACTATCAAGAGATTCTATCTGCTACCTTCCTTGAACGTTTTCAGTAACATTCTTATATCATAACCTTAGTCTGAATAAATCCAGACTTCATTGAATTTCTATATTTATGAATGTCACAGTTTTAGAAAGCTACTTGCTATCATATTTGTATGATGATAATTCTGAAGTATGATAAATGTACAGTTGTATGTATTTGGTATCATAACATTGGACTGATTTCAATATTTATTTTACAATCATAGATTCAAGAATTCAATTGGGATTCAAAAGTACAAGGTAAGAATTACATGACTGTATAACCCTAAATGGAGTCTGATTTATCTTTTAAAATACATTTGGGACACTTAACTAGTGCTTTAGTATAATCATAGTTTCAATCTGTTAGATGATAAGCTGTTTATCACCGTGACTGTTTTCTGTTGTTGACAGGGATGGTGCTAGGATCCTTCTTCTATGGTTACATAGTCACACAGATCCCTGGGGGGTGGCTGGCAACAAAGTTTGGTGGCAAGGTGCTGTTTGGAGGGGGGATAGCTATGACTGCACTACTGACACTCTTCACCCCCCTAGCAACTAAGGGGGGTGCCTACGCTCTCATGGGTATGAGAATAGTGGAGGGACTGTTTGAGGTAATTTGTTTCACAGTTATAATGCATCTCTTGTAACATACATGTACACATGTACTTACATTTAGTGTAAGAAAAGTTGGATATTAGAGACTCAACTAGTCTTGACTTAAATTTCATATCTTTCTCAAGGTTCAGGTGGGTAGATTAAGTTATCAAGGGCACATGGCTGGCACTGAAATTAATTAACATTACCTGAAATCTTTATCCATTTATTGAATGCTTATTCTGTGGTTCTAGTGTTCATCACTAGGGGGCACTTTTGTACATGTTTGTTGGCCTCCCCAAATAACTGCATTTGTTTTGTATTACTATGCAAAGTGCAGTTATTTCATTCCCATTTTGATTATGTGATTTCGTATCTGTACCTGATATAGGGAGTGACATATCCATCTATCCATGCCATATGGAAGAACTGGGCTCCACCATTGGAAAGGAGCCAGCTTGCTACAGCAGCCTTCTCAGGTTGGACATGCATCAGAATATTTTTATCTTTCAAATTTTACGACTTCTGCTGCTGATGCATGATATTAGTTTACCCATGACTCACATACCAATACCCATGACTCACACACTCACTCTCATTAATTGTAAAGTATAATTTCATCAAAGTTGTCTTAATTTTCACAGATAGAAGACCTCTTCTAGACATTGATGTAGAAAATTCTCAACAGAAAAAATAAAACTTGACATTGTATAATTCATGTACTACAATACAGAGACAGGTTATGATGTACAATGTATATGATTTTGTCTTTATGGGAAATGTGAAAATGTGTTACATATATCTACAGTGATGAAAAACTATATATTACTAGTGCATGACTTTGTACTTTGCTGCAAAAAAATATCTGAGAAGGTTCTTTCTTGCCCTTGGTTTAAGTTTGTTTGATAAGGTGTAGATGTTTTTCATCCATGGTGGAGAGGTATTCATAGCACAGTTTAAGAATTAATCAGTGCCTTTTGTTTTACCATTGCAGGATCCTATGTAGGAACTTTCCTGTGCCTACCCATTTCTGGTGTGTTGGCGCAGCATGTGGGCTGGCCCTCTATCTTCTATGTCTTTGGTCAGTATGGGGTTTTGATGGAAACTTCATACTTGTGCACCTCCCCAAACCCCTGATTGACCCGATTCTGGTAGTATGGACTATCTCTGAGTACAGCTGTTGGTCTGTACAGGGAGGTCGATCTTGGGTTGCTCTAAAGCAAAGCCTGAACCAGATCCATTCAGTCATGTCCTTAGGGCACAGCTTTGTCCTAACACTTCCGGTGATCCTCATGATATGTCTACAAATACTTCCTGCCACATTCCAGAGGAAGGTCAGGGGGAGTAAGCCAGCTTTACACTTTTTTGTAGTATGTAATCGTGTGATAAAGGCAGAGACTTTTGGAAGGCCCCATGATGTCTTTTTTTATCAGTTGCCCATTCTGGGAAAGCAGCAACCTACTGATAATCACACATTCCCAGGTAGCTATTCAATTGCCTGTGGACATGACACATACTTCTTAAGTGCAACAACTGACTTAGTGTACTTTCCCCCATAACTTGGAAAAGGATTCTCAAACATGAATGTGATATCAGGTGGTGATAGGCACATTGATTGGTAGGAAAGTTGCAGGTGATTGGTTAGAATGTCCAACTTGGTCCCTCGCATATCTACAGCACAGTCATATATCCAAAATGTCTGCCAAACTTTGAAGTAATAAAACAAAAGTTGTATGCGGACATGAAAACTTGGCTATCGCCTCTACAGTACAGGCTTAAGATCTGTCTGAATCTTCAAAGCTAGCCTTATGTTTCTCTGCCTGTTGTCTCCAGCTGCAGGTTGGATAAGTGTGATAAATTGCTGCCGTGCCTTCTGCAGAGTTTAGGCCATTTTGTATCTTGTCTTTTGTATCTTTGTACTACGTACACCTTTACCCTGATGCTGAATAAAAAAAATGTCAAAAGTTGATGGTAAGGTCAAAAGCAACTTTAACAAATGTGGCAGAAGCTGATCAAATCTCAGTGAACGTTCTTCATCATAGGCAGATAGATAGAATAAATGATTTGATAAATTTCTTCCTTTGTGTTTTTGAATATTTTTTAAAAATTTGTTTATTGACTAGGTGCTCTGGGCTTGGTTTGGTTTGTTGCATGGTGGTTCATTGTGACAGACTCTCCTGCTACCCACTCCACCATCTCATACCAAGAGCTGGAGTACATCACACAGACTATGGCCCACTCTAGACGAAGCATTTCGCGACAGCGGTAACTGCCGACAGCGGCACGCCGACAGCAGGAACGCCGTCTAGAGAGGATTCCCGACAGCGTAGTCCCGCTGTCATGAAATTTTCTGACGACAGCTCCAAAGTTGTCGGCCGACAACTCAGCGGGAGTCCCCGACAACTTAAAGTGCGTATAGAGAACTCGCGACAGCGGGAGGTCAGGGTTCAGTTTGTCACAGAGCATCTAAAATGTTCCCCTCGACATCCTGAAGCGCCTGTAAAACTCTGTATCGCACAGTGTGCCTTGAACAAATTTTTGCCAAAAGGTCGCGGGTTTCTTAACGTATCGCCAGATCCTCCGGTGGACAGGATCACCACCTTTTGCCAAAGCAATGGCAGCGGGGAGGTAAGCAGGGCGCGACGTGTCAGCAACATCTCCCGGTATCTCAACCGTCTCCTGCGTGCACCCCTTGCTCGTCGCCTCATATTGGACAAGACGCGAGTGACTAACAAGAGAAAAACATCTGACACACGGCGAGGAAAAACATTGGCGGCTCCCCCGCCATTTTGGATTTCACGCGTTAGAACATTCGGATGTTCGATGTTCGATGCGAAGACATTTGTGTGTATAAAGACGTCGCGACAGCGGCGTCCCGACAGCGGGAAATATCGCCGCTGTCGCGAAATGCTTCGTCTAGAGTGGGCCTTTCACCATAGAGGGGGGAGTGGCCAAGGTAAGACAGACACAATACAAGTGAATTGTTACAGTGTAACAGGTTACACTGGTTAAATGTTTTCATGTTGCATGTGACTGATCAACAAGTAACCTATGGAATGCTCATTCGCACAAAAGAAAATAACTATGGAGCTTCATGGATTTGTATGGAATTCACTTTAACAGCGGAGTACATCTATTGATTTTCTTCTTCTAAACAATCCTGCTTCAATTTGAGAGAATGTGCAAAAATGTTTCACATGTAGTTTTGTCCCTTCTTTGCCACACCTACAGGAAGGCCTCAGTGCCCTGGAAGAAAGTGCTAACATCAGGCCCAGTGTGGGCCATCCTGGTGGCACACTTCTGTGAGAACTGGGGGTTCTACACCATGCTGACCAGCCTACCTCTCTTCCTGCGGCAGATATTCCACTATGACTTAGCTGAGGTGAGGCCTCAGAATAAACTGACCAAATTGTATATTATTTTTAAGTGTCAATGGTATCTTGAAATAGCAGTCAGTCAGGTGGAAAGATTGATCAAAATATCCTTCAGAATTTGATGTTGATACCACTTGCTCCCTTATAGTCCCTATCCTTTCTGCCTGCATTCTTTTGGTATTACTGTTATGAATATTTACACTTCACAAGACACTTGCCAGGGGGCATTCCTACCACTGTTTTCCTTTAGCCTTCATGATCAGCAGGTAACGTTACTGTCTTGAGGAAACCCACTTGAAGGTCCCAACTTCAAAAAAAAAAAAGAAATCCCACTGTCATCATTTACATTGTAGACACATTTTGTTCCACTGACAATATTTCATGCTTGGAATACAAACTGCTTACTGACTGCTACATGCAGATAGTGCAAGTGTCCTATCCAAGAGGAAGATGGGCCTTTATATGTCCAGTTAGATGGGTACCCATTGAAGGTTATGGATATTTCCTGTTGATGATATTGCTTGACATAGCAAAGTTGCACAGTTCTGCAAACATCCATCTCCTGTACTGTTTTACTGCAGGACGGAGTCCTTTCTGCATTGCC